GGCTCTGTTGTCACTGCGCAGGTGCTCCAGGTAGCGAAGGGGCCGACCAGGCACGCAGAACCCTACAGTTCAGTTTCAGCTGGAATCCCAAGAGCAGGCTGCCTGTTGTTTGTGGTCCTGGGTCTTCCCCCACGAGTGGCTTTTGGAGGCCCAACCAGGACCTGGTGGGGCTCTGTCTACCTGGGCATATTTCCTGGCTCCAGCTAGAAGGAGAGGGGAACACAGGAATGCATGGGCATCCCGGAGCCCCCTCTTCACTGCACAAGTTTAAGCACCCTACCACACCCCAGTGGCTGGGGGAATCAATGAGAGCCAGACCACGAGCATGTCTGTCTTTCAGTCTTTCTGATGGCTTCTGAAGTCAGCGCTCTGCCAGCACTGGGGAAACCCTATCCACTAGGCAGGCAGATGAGCGTTTTTCAGCACAGGAATCACCAGGAATGAAACGTGGGCATTTGCTGCAGCTGTGGACCAAAGCCGCCTTAAGTTTTTGTTTTTGTTTTTGGTTCTGGTTTGGTTTTTTGAGACAGGGTCTCACAGTGTAGCCCAGGCTGACCTTGAACTCAAGGTGATCGTCTGTGGCCATACCACCCTGAACGTCCCTGATCTAGTCTGAACTCAAGGTGATCCTCCTACCTCAGCATCCCAAGTGCTGGGATGACAAGTGAATGCCACCACACCTGAATAATTTGTACATTTTTGCTCCGAAATCTGAAAGGTGGCTGGTGCTGGCCCTGAGCCTTGGAACCCATGGCCTCCTGGTGGAGGTAGACATGTCTGACCTCAGCCCAAGGTGACAGGAAGGTGCTTCCTGTCATAAGCATGTGATAAAGATGCCACCCAGGTATTGGAGCACTTGCTTGGTTCCAAGCACCTAGGAATGTGAAGCCCTGGGGCAGGGGCTGTCTCTGACCCAGGCTAATGATACCCAGTGAGTACACGCAGATGGGAGGGAAATGCCAGGCTGCCATCAGGAGCAGGACGTGTCAGCATAGTTCGGCTCTGGAGGGCGGTGATCCACCACCCATTTCCACCTCTGCCATGGTGGTGTAGACAAACTGGTCGGCCTTGGGACTCAGGAGGTATCCAGGGTGAAGGCTGGGGCGGAAGGTCCCATCCTGGTCAGCTGAGGGGATGGGACAGCTTCTCCGGGGCAGCGTGGCCCCAAGGGCTTAGAAAGTTCTGGGCGATCCAGGGCACTGTGGTCACCCTATTGGGAAAGTCGTATGTCCGAGTATTGGCAGTGGGCAGAAGTTCTGATGCAGGGTGCTGAGTGAGGGTGCTCTCCAGGCTGCTGTTACCAGCTTGGGTTCTGAGGCCGATTCTTGAGGTCCTAACCAAGAAACTGATCAGGAACCCCCAGTGATATATCTGAAAAAGAAAAGCTCTTGGAATCCCCTCCTCGAGAAGAGCTCATGGCCCGAGGGGCCTTGGTGTTGTGGGTTCTAGATCTTAGTTTTGGGGTACAGCTGAGGGCCTGCGCGGGGGCTCAACTCAGCTCCTCTGAGCACTGAAGTTTTTGACCTTTTGTGGCCTTCGGAGATCGGTCAAGGTGCATAGTCAATGACATGCTAATTAGGGCGGTATCACCAAGCAGTGCGGTAGACCACTGCGCATGTGCAGGATTTAAAGTGTGTAGAATACATCACCTGGTGAACTTTTCCCATTGCATTTAGACCTGGGCGACCTGGTCTGGGCTAACATTTAACTCAGAAGGTGGATCCAGCCTCAGAAAGCGGCTCCAAGATTCCTCCCCTCTTTTGCTTCCATCTCTCCCAGAAAACAGACTCCCAGGCCGACGAGCCCTCCTTTCCCTCCCCAGCCTTCACCCTAGCTACCTCCTGAGTCCCAGGGCCGACCGGTTTCCTACAACACCACGGCAGAGGTGGAAACGGGTCGCGGGTCACCTGCCCTCCAGGGCCGAAGCTCCTCCTCCCGCTTCCGCGAGGCTCAGCGCCCCCTTCCTGGCTGCCGTGCCTCTCCCGAGGCATTCCTCCTTACTTGGCCAGCGCTGCGTGTTTATTTAGAAATTGGCTTGTTTGGAGCCTGCAATTTGGCATCGTTGATTTTGGCTGTGAGGTGTTCAAATTTTTCCTCTTTCGGTTTTGCTAAACCTATTTTGTGAGCAAAACAGCACCAAGTAATAAAAAAAACACACCGAGGCTGGTGAAGCTGTGCAAATGGGAAGCGGCCAGGAACATGATGTGATGCGCTTGTGTGGATTAATTTTGAATCTCTAGATAGCAGATGAGACACACACCAGGGTGAATTCCAGGATCTGTGCACCCAGCCCAAGCAAAGGGGACCCTGGGCCTGGAAGAGCAGTTGTGGAGATCATTGCACACCCCCAAATCCTTTGCATTTCTATTATTATTACTATGGCTTTTTTTTTTTTTTTTTTTTTTTTTTTTTTTTGTCTTTTTTGTATTTATCAGTACCGGGGATCAAACTCACGACTGCCTGCTTGCAAGGCAGGCACTTACGCCACTGAGCTAAAACCCCAGTCCCTTACACTATGGCTTTTTTGAGATAGGGTTTCGCTATGTAGCCCAAGCTGGCCCTTAACTCATGGCGAGCTCCTGCCTCAGCCTCCTGAGTGCTAGGAGTACATGCATGTGCCACCACACCCAGCTCTGCATTTTATTTTGGACGCATGAAGTGCATGAATACATTGCATTCAGGACACATAGGGGTGCCTTCAGTCCCGGTCCTTCTAGATGTGCTGAGTCTAAACTGATGTGGGGGTGGGGGGCGTGGCATTTTATCTGTGACACTGGTTCTTCCACAGCAGGTCCTGGAGGGCAGGGAGTTGGGTGCAGCCCCAGAGCTCTGCTTCATGCTGGTCCAAGGCTGTGCCGGGACCTGGGAAGGAGGCATGGCCCTGTCCACAGCAGAACAGTCCCCAAGAGTGGCAGCTCTGCTTCTGGGACAGTGCAGACAGCGTTTGCCACTGTCTAATCTTAGTGAAGGAAGCTGAAGGCTGATCACAGCGACAGCCTCATCCATGTCCTTAGCAATGAAACCTAGGTCCACAGGGTGGGTGGGGACCCCTGGTAAAAACAAACTCAAACAATTGTTTCCACAGGCCCATAAAGAGGCCCTCTAGTGACCAAAGGAGATTTTGACCTCAAGCGCCAGCCCCAAACTGAAACAAGTGGCTCCAGAGCTGCAGGGCTTGCTGGGGTCAATAGGTGACACCCGATGATCATGGCCCAAGGAAGGTGGCCACCTACAAGGCTTCCTGTGGAAGGCCAGTCTGTTCCCTGTGCCTAGGGCACTCCTGGACTTTGGGGTTGACTGATGGGCTCATGGCATATGTTCTAGAATCAGAAAACCCAGGCCTTATAAAGCTGGTTTACAAATCTAGGAAAGGGTGAATTAAGGAGACCAGGTTGTAATTACAGCCTCATTTTGATATCTTCCTGTATCAGCTTTTTTTTTTTTTTTTGAGACAGGGCTTCAGTATGTAGCCAGGACTGGCCTGAAACTCACAGCCTCCTGAGTACAGGAATAACAGGCATGCACAACCACGCCTGGCTTCTCTGATCAGCACAGATGACTTCTGATCCTGTCCCCACTGAGTGAAGGACATGCACTATCCCCATGCCCAGAGCCCCTACATGGAGATAAAGTTCCCAGCCACTGCCTTCCCAGGAGTTTGGAAGCATGGAGCAGGAAGGCTGGGAAGCCTGGTGGGTGGTACACTGTAGATGAGGTGCTGCTTTGCCTCCTGGCTGGTCAGTCAGGTTCAGAGAGGTGACTCCTAAACCTGTGTCCCTACCCAGTCACTCACCTTTGAAGCAAGTCTCCCATTATTCCCCAGCAATTTGCTCCGAAGCCAGGGCCACCTCCTGGGTCTGCCTGGGTCTGCACGCCAGGGGGCCTGAGGGGCCGGGGCTCTGTGCACCAGGACCCTGTACTCTGGGAGGTGCTCGGCACCGCAGCCAAGAGCTCTGGCTTGAGAAATCCAGGCTGTTCCTGTCCAGAGACCTTTTGGGGACTTGGCTTAGATGTTTTTGCTGCAAATAAACAGGTTGCCTGCTGCCAGACAGTTCCACTCCTGCAGCGGTGACGATGTTCCAGCAGTCAGCCAGGCTTGCTCAGGGTGAGGCCAGCGACCTTGAACATTCTTTTCTTTCTCTTTTTTCCTTTTGTTGGTTTTTCTGAGTCTGGGTCTTGCTATATAGCCAGGGTTGGCCTCAAACTCACAGAGATCCTCCCACCTCAGCATCCCAATGGCTGGGATGATAGGTGAGGGCCACCAGGCCAGCTCCCAAACACTCTCTCTCCCCCTATGGTGGTTGGCAGATGTCTCCTGGGGTCCCTGCCCCTTTGCCCTGGAATCTTGAAGGCCAATCAGACTGACTAGGAAGAAGTGTGGTGGAGTTTGGGCATGTCAGGAGCTTCTGCCCTGGTCGTGTAGACCTCAGTGGCCACAGATACTATGCTGGCTGAGCACGGGCACAGACAGAGGGGACTTCTGGACCTCTAGGTGCTAGAGCGCATTTTCTCAGTCCTGGTGCTGGAACCTAGGATACTCTACCACCAGGCTACACCTTAAGCTCCCCCTTTTATTTATTTATTTAGTTTTTATTTTGACACAGGGTCTCATTAAATTTCCCTGGTGGGATACAAACTTGCAATCCTCCTGCTTCAGCCTTCCTTAGTGCTGGGTTTGCAGAGCTAGGTCCCCTGCCTGAGAACCAGTGTGGACCTTCCTGTCCTGCACAGCTTTGCAAAGAGCCTTCCTGTGATGTGCAGCCTTCTCTTGCCCGTAAATTCTCTCTCTCTCACCCACACACACCCCCCATACACACACTCAACCCACAGTGCTCTCTCCTGCAGTTTGGAAGACAGCAGGACTCAGCCTGTGTCTCACTGTGTATGGGTCATCAGCATCCTCCCTGCAAACTCTGGAGCTCTTCACATGCGGGTGTCGCACGCTGCCTGCCCCAGCCCCACGCCATCCCTCACGATCTCCAACAGACCCTTGATGCATATGCAGACTGACTTTGCATTTATTTGGGCTGAGACGTCTTACCCGAATGAGGCCAAGCTCTAGATTTTTCAGCTCGGTGCGCTTCGGAGGCAGCCGTGCTCCCAGGGGACAGACGCTAAGTTTGGGAGCCTGAGCTCCTGAGTTCCCAGCCAGCACACAGCCTGCAGCTTTCCAGGTCACCGCTGTCCCTGCAACAGTGGGGGGCGGGGCTCACGTAGGCCTCACCCCCCCCCCCACCTTCCCGTTTGTCTTCCGAGGCCTTGGAGGTGCCGCGCACCAGTCCTGTCACCAGGTAAGAGGGACAAACTGGGCAGGCCGCACAGTGCCCGGCTCTGCAGTTCCCAGGCCCAGCCTGGAGTTGAGTGGGGCTGTGCTATGTGCTGGGACTCTGGGTGGGAGCCCCAGGAAAGGCCAAAGGCCGGTGGGGGTGAGGGGGAGATGAGGCCTTTGGTTTTTTAAACCCCACCGTGTGGCTGCTGTTCCAGGCCCTCCTTAGCAGGGTGAGGACCAGCCTCCGAAGCCCTTGTCCCTGCCCCTTTCTTCTTGGCCAAGGAGAACTCTCGGGAGCCCCGCAAAAGTCACTTTTTGTCCTCCTTGCTGTCCCAGGCCTCACGCGTGGCCTCAGCACTGCTCGGCCTCCACGAAGCCCTCCTTCTCGTGGCCCATGGGCTCCACCTCCGTGTAGGTGGTGTGGTCGGGGTGGTTGCGGAACTTCATGGCCGGCCAGTGGTGGGGTCTCCGCTACAGGGACACAGGGGCAAAGTCACCAGGTGGCGGTGACCCCTCTGTGGGCCCCACCCCAAGGGAGGTGGGCACCAAGACTTCCTTCCCTGATGGCAGGTGGGTGACAGAGACCTTTTATTCCTCGATGCTGGAGCCTCCTGCCACACAGAGTGGATGCCCAAACCTGGGCAAAGCCACTGGCTCCAGACCTGGGGACTAGCAGTGACACTGTAACCACCTCCACATGGCATGGGTCCTGCATTGAGACAGTCAGGGGTCTCCAGAGTCCCCCTGAAATTCCCTCTGTTCAAGTCCCTGTGGTCCTGAGACCTGCAATTCCCAGGTGACACCTGGATAGGCTGAGAACCCACAGGAAATGGGACATTTTTAAAAAGCTGAGGGAACTCATTACCCAGGCCTCTGTGTAACGAGACAGGGAGCTTGTGACCTATGTGGCCACCACTGTGTCCCTCTGAGGACCTTTGAGATGACCGTCTAGTGAGGGTTTCCCTGCTACTGGCCATAGAACTGCTCTGGGCTGGGAGAGTCTTGCTGTCTAGTGTGGCCTTGAACTCACTATGGAGCCCAAGCTGGCCGCAAACTCAAGGGGATCCTCCTGCCTCAGCCTCCTGCTGCCACACCCAGCCGAATTCTACAGATTGAACTAGTTCCTCGGAAGCTCAGGAGCCCTCTGGAGTAGAGAGCTGGGTGGGAGCTGCTGGGCTCCAGGTACAGAGCCAGAGCGCTGAGCCTGATTTCTAGGGTACACCTCAGCTGGCTCTGTGGGATCCTGGGGTGTTCAAAAGGGCAGGCAGCATCCTCTGCTAAGTACCACCCTTCCCTCCCTCCAGTACATGACCCTCATGTCCTTTGTTATCTAAAACCCACAGAAACAGCAGCAATTGGCTCCACTGTGGCTCTGAATAATTCTGAACCTGCAATTTGGGCACAAGGGACCATAAGTTATTAGAGAAAAGCTGGCTGGCCATGAAGTGGGCACTGAGTGGCATTTTTTGGCCTTCTTTAGTTCCTCTGGGGACTTTTTAAATTTCACAAATAGGGAAAGAAAGCTGCTGGCTGGGCCTGATGGTGGACACCTGTAATCCCAGCACTTAGGAGGCTGAGGTAGGAAGATCACTAGGAGTTTGAGACCAGCCTGGGCTACAAAGTGAGTTCAAGGCCATCCTGAACTTCATGGTGAGATCCTGTCTCAAACACACACACACACACACACACATACACACACACACACACACATGAAATAAAGCAAGCAAGCTGACGGCTACTCCACATGAGCAGGAGGGCTGATGCACTGAGGGGGCCCTGGCCCTGGCCACTGCAGGGTGGGTCCTCTTGGGTATGTGGCTGGAGAGGGATGAGATGGGAGAGATGGGCACAGACCGGCTCAGGAGCAGATGGTGACCTCAGGCCCAATCCACACTGACCTCGATGAAGAAGAGCGCGGCGTTGGAGTTGGGGTGGCCGCTGATGTAAATCCCAGCCAGGATGAGGGCTGCCACCAGCAGGACGGCCAGCACAATGCCCACGATGGTGCCCAGGTGCACTGGGGGGCCCTTGGAGTCCGGGGACAGATTGTCCTGCAGGCCTGTGGAGAGACCATGAGGGCAGGCAGGGGTGGTGGGAAGCCCAGGCCAGGGACTCTGGGGACCTGACACAATCTCAGAGAGAAGAGCCCAGGGAGTCTGCAAAGGCACTGGGCATCCCCCTGGGGATGGAATGACCATCCTTGGCATCACTGGGCTGGCTTTGGAAATCACTCTGAAGTGGCCTGGATGTCTTCCAAGGCCCCTCAGGGGTGTTCTCTGCCACTCCAGGCCACAAAAGTCCCAATGAGGAAATCACACGGGGCTGCAGAGGCTGGGATGGGGGGAATGGCTTCGGGGGTTCGGATCTGTATACAGTGCATGACCTTGGGCACGTACTGAATCCCAAGGTCTCCACGGTCACTTCTGAAGAACCAGAGTGACAATAACAACGACCTGGTGGGGTGGTTGGGAGGGGCAGTGAGGTCATTCATGCCTAGCACCCTGAGAGACCCCTGGAAACTGGACTGAAGGACACTTGTCACTGGTCCTGCGGAGGACAGGGTGTGCCTCCCACAGGCTCAGAGCAGAGAACTTCCTGAGTGCCCCCAAGCCAGAATCTTATGAAGTCCCTATCAGCCCTTGTGGTGGCTGCAGCCTGCACCTGTGGGGTCTCCCTCCTGGGATCCACCCTGAGCCTGGACTGAAGCTGCCCTCTGGTGCTCTCTGCAGCCTGAGTGTTAGACACTGGCCTCCCTCGATGACCTTCAGGGCCCTGGGGAAGAGGCCATGGCCACAGGTCCCCTTGTCACCTGTCCTGCCTCAGCCTTGCTCTCCTCCCTCCCATTTCAACATGGAGCTGAGTGTGCCCTATCCAGTGGGAGGTCTAACCCCTCCCCCCCAAAAGAGCTAGGGGTCTGGTGAGGCGGCGGGCGCAGGAGGCTCTGTGCTTACCGTCTCTGCCTGCCTGGGGATTCAGCTTGGTGTCATCTGCAGAGAGAGCCCAGAAGGAGAAAGGTTAGCGCCACAGTCACAGCTTTGTCACCTGGGTTGGGATGTGACTTCAGTGAGGCTGTCTGACTTCTCACTTGAGACACACAAAAACTGAAGCCCAAAAAGAGAGGCAGAGCGGGGGGGGGGCACAGAGGACAGGGGACAGGCAAAGTCCAGGCAGGCATCACTGGAGGGCAGAGGAGCCAGGGGAGAGGATGCTAACAGAGTCGTGTGAAGATTAGGAGTGGTGCTGGGCATGGTGGCATGTGCCTGCATTACAGCACTTGGGAGGTTGAGGCAGGAGGATCCTTGCAAGTCGAAGACCAGCCTGGGCTACAAAGTGAGGTAAAGGCCAGCTTGAACCACATAGTGAGACCCTGTCTCTCTTTCTCTTTTCTCTCTCTCTCTCTTTTTTTTTTTTTTGGTACGGAGGATGGAACTCACGACTGTGTGCTGGCAAAGCAGATGCTTATGCCACTGAGCAAGATCCCCAGCCTGAGATCAGGAGTGGTGCTTTTCTCTTGGAGACTGGGGACTGCAGTTTCCCCTCAGGGTCCTTCCTGCCACTCTGCCCAGGACTCACACGGGGCAGAGGGGTCAGCGGCCCTGTCCAGAGACTATGCTTGACAGTTGCAGGCCGTTACTCCGGTCACGTGACTGTCATGCAGATCTGCCCCCCCAGGTTCACAGCATCTCCTGGCTTTTCCTCTGTAGGAGCCCTGCCACCTATGTCTTTTGAAAGTCCCCTTTGTTCACAGGTGTTCCAGGCCCTTTTCTGTCACCTGTCCTCCCCTCTCCTCCTCCTCCTCTCATTGGCTGTAGCTCATCTGCTGTGGGGGTGGGGATGGGGCAATGGCAGAAGGCCAGTTCAAGGCTGTCTGGGCCGGTTGCCTCCAAAACTCTCTGTGGGCTGGGGTTAGGCTCCCCTCCTTGTTTTATTTCCTGTTTTGATATTTACTTTGTGTAATGGAATTTTTAGCTTTAATTTTGATTTCTATAAAAATTGTATTCAAATATTATCTTGGCCAGGGATTTAGCCATAAGTGCCTGCCTGGCAAGCACAAGGACATGAGTTCAGTTCCTAGTACCAAAAAATATCTCAGTTATTGGGATTTTCTTTGAGCCTCCTTAAAATGTTCACTTGGGTTGAGAGCTTCACTCGCCTCAGTTTGTTCTGGTGCTGTCACCTCCTGGGGACAGTTGACCGCCCCTTGGGCCCTGGCGTGACCTCTCCACAGCATCTGGGCCACACTGTTCCCCCAGCCACTTTTATCTTCCTCACCTGTCAGGCAGCCCACATGGGGTGTGTTCCCAACAAACTTAAAATATCAACAAATATATGGAAAGTATACACTATGAGGGAAACTGAAAACGTTCCCCTGTAAGTCTATCATGGTGGCTCATGCCTGTATCCTCAGCACTCCCTGAAGGCTGAGGCGGGAGGATCACAAGTTTGAGCCCAGCCTGGGCAACTTAGAGTCTATCTCAAAATCAAATGAAAAGGGCTGGGGATGCGGCTCAGAATAAAGGCCCTGGGGGAAAACCATGGGGCTTCCTCTAGGTGTAAGGTCAGCCTTCCACACTGGCTTATTAGCTCCCCACTGGGCTAAGGTTTTCTTCTGCTGTGACTCCATCTTCCGAAGAATCGCACCATCAATACTGAAGTTCTTTTTTTTTTTTTTTTTAATAGATTCTCCCTACAAATTCAGGCTGGCCTTGAATTTGTGGCAATCTGCTGTCTCAGCCTCCTGAGTGCTGGGATTACAGGCATATGCTACCACACGGGGCTGGGTCTTTTTTTGGTCTTTTTCCTTTTTATCAGTACCGGGGATCAAACTCAAGACTGCCTGCTTGCAAGGCAGGCGCTTATGCCGCTGAGCTAAACCCCAGCCTCCGCGCTGAGTCTTAAAAACCCTTATTAGTTCTTTGCGGTTCTCAGGCAACCTCTGGGTCCCCTCCACAGCCAGAGCCTTGAGGGTCCTGCTGTGTTCCGAATCTGCACAGACTCATTTCTACTTCTTCTTCTCTCTCTCTCTCTCTTTTTTTTTTTTTTTTTTTGGGTACCGGGGATCGAACTCACGAGCTCAGGCTTGCCAGGCAGGCACGCATGCCACTGAACTAAATCCCTGCCTATTTCTACTTCTTTCAGCATGGGGAAAGGCAGTGGGTGGAGGGAAAGGACAAATTTGGAGTTGCATGAAACCTGACTCCATTTCTTCTGGGCCTGTCTGCGCCTTAATGTCTTCCTTATAAAGTAAAGAGACGCAGGGAGTTTAAAAAAAAAAAAAATTTAGCTGGGTTTGATGAAACATGACTGTAATTCCAGCACTCAGGAGGCTGAGGCAGAAGAGTCACCGAGAGTTTGAGGCCAGCCTGGGCTGCACAGCAAGACCCTGCCTCAAAAAAAAATTTTAAGTGGCAGGAGAGACGGGATGGGGGTGCTGGAAGTGAGGGAGCGGGAAGATTTAAAGGGGGATTGGTGCCAATGTGATTTTTGCTGTAATTCTTTTGAAAAATGTGGCCATTCGCTGTATTTTTCCATCACGTCTCACACCAACAACCAGGGGTGCTAGGACTGATCAGGAACCATGAGTGGCTTCAGCACATGGCAGACCCAGGACGTCAGCCCTGCTGTCTTTCCCAGCCTTCGTGACTGCCCTCTGGCCAGTCCCACGCCAGCTGGCCTGCGATTAGAGGCGGCTGCCTCCTGCAGCTCGCAGCGGCCTCATTTGCCCCTGAAGCCTAGTTCGTCCCCTAGGAGGACGTGAGGTCGTGGCTCAGCCATGCCTCCCCTCTATGCCCCTTCCCTCCTTCCCATCATTCCCTGCGAGCCAGGGTCGGCACCGCGGGGGCTGCTGGGAACCCGGCCTCTTGCATCTGCGCAGAAGTGGAGGGGGCTCGCGGGTCTGGACGTGAGGTACCTGGAAAAGACTCCCGGCCTCAGGCGGCCGAGAAGCCTTAGGGACAGAGCACATCATCGCCCTACTGGGTCCCTCTTCCCACAAAAGGAGCCAATGCCAAGGGGGCCTGAGAGTTGGGGCCGGGGTAGAGGAACTCACATCCGAGTGTGGACCCGGGTAAAGAAGCTTCGTGAGGGTCACCGTCCAGCTGAACCAAGATGACCCCATAACGTATCCAGAGCCCAGAAAGGACATCGATTGCCCCTCCTAGTGACGCCATCCCACAGCCTGCCAGGGGCAGCACCAGGCTTAGAGTCATGGGGCGACACCCCCTCTTCTTGTGCCCGCCCCTGGCTCAGTGCGGGGAGCTCAGCTCCCAGAATGGGGCCGTCTGCAGTCTGCAGTGTGCAGAAGGGCAGGAAGGCCCTGGCCAAGACATTGAGCATCCCTAGTTGCTCTCTCCAGGCCCCGCCCTGCGCCAGGCCCTGACTTTACCTTCCGTGGTGAGGCTGTCAATCAAGAGGGAGGAGGCAGTGGTGGTGATGGTGATGTCCCTGTCCGAGGGGCTGCCCGAGCTACTGGGCGAAGCCAAGTACTGATCCTCGTCCTGGAAGTCCTCGCACGTCCTGCCTTCTGCCTGCAAGAGACCGCTGTGCTGCTGCTGGAAGTGGCTGGGCCCCCAGTACATTTAGACCTCTCATTAGTCTCAGCTACTGAGGAAGCTGAGGCAGGAGTGTCCTGAACCTAGGAGTTTGAAGCCAGCCTGGGCAACGTAGTGAGATCTTGTCTCACAAAATAAACTAAACTTTCCACTTTGTCTTGTAAGGGTCTTGTCCCACAGGGCAATCTGTCAGCTGTTTCGAATCCTTCCCCAAGGAAGGATTAATCAGTAGGGCGCTGGCCCCTGGCTTTTGGGATTATATTAAAACAACATTAAAGAATCAAAGCACAGAGAGTTCTAGCTGTGAGAATGAACTTGCACGGGATTCTAAACAGCAGATGTTGGGGCACCCTTCACACCTTAGACTGACTGCTACCCCTAAAAGCTGAAGGACTAGCACCTGGCTGGTGCTTCATGGATGTCATCGTACTCTTAGCCTCTCCAAGGATCCATGCCCAGGTTCCCCTCCACAGGGGTCCCGAAGCAAGTTTCTGGGGACTGCCTGTTCATGCCCAAGTGCAGGAAGTACTCATGGCTGGGGCTCACAGTGCTCTCTAGAACCTTCTAGAACCTTGCACAGTGGTCCGAGGGACTCAGAGCAGATTGAACACAAATCATAGATGGAGCAGAGGAGAAGACACCAAGGATTAAAGACAAGAGGGCTGAGGCAGGAGGATTGCTGTGAGTTTGCAGCTGGCCTAATGTATATGGCAAGACTGTATCTCTGAAAAAATTTTTAAAAAGGCATCCAGAGAAGAGCTGGGACGGGGCCCCCACAGGTTGCCCAAGCTGCTCACCTCCTGAGCACAGCCATAGGTCAGCCACTCCTGACGGTAGCGGTCAAAACCACTGGAGCACCTGTAAAAGGACAGGAAGATGAGATTGTAGGGGTCAGCACAGTAGCCCCAATTTTGCAACCCTCAATTCAGTAGCTACAGACCAGGTGGTCGGGCAGTGCCCTGGGTGCCGGGCAGCTGAGGGACCTGCAGCAGGACCCTCCTGCCCCTCCACCCTTTCCTTGGAGGGCAGGAAGGTGTGTGCAGGGTCCCCATCTTCCTGACCCGGCTCCCTTGGGTCAAGGCCACATCTGCCCAGATGTGTGTGGTGGGCTGTATGACCTCTAATGACGCTAAGGTCCCTTTGACCCTGTGCCACATGGTACTGCTGAGCCCCCTTTGAGAAATGCTTGCCCCTGCGCTTGGAGAGCAGGGCTGTGCAGAGCAGGCTAGGTGAGGTTTAGGGTTCTGGTTTGGTTCCGATGCAGCCAGTACTTTCTGCGTGACTATAAAGGGCAGAGGGTGGCGTGATGGAGTCAGGGAGAAATTGAGTCATCAAGCACTGCCCAGAGAAAGGGTGGAGGCGGAGGTCAGCCAGAACCTCCAACACACATTTCTGCTCTTGTCTCTTCAGTATTGGGGAAGCCACTGCGCCCCACAGGAGCTCAGGGACATCTGCATGGAAAGAACATCTGGAACCACGAGGGCTAGGAAGTCGCTCTTGGCGAGTTCACTGTGCACCAGCAGCCCACCTGCTATCTGCCCCAGAAGGGCAAGGCCTCTGTGGGCCCAGAGCTGCCTGTCTGCAGTAGGATGACCGGACCAGGCCTTCCTGTAGGTCCCCTTGTCCTCCACTGTGGGGCTGGGGGTGCTGGGGGAGGCTGGGGACTTGTTTCTTTTAGATCAAACTGATTTCCCAGGAGCTCAGCCTGCTGGGCAGGTCTAAGGGCAACCATAGTGAGCCCTGGTAGCCACCCAGAGTGAAAGGCTGGAGCAGAAAGTGCCACTGGCTGGGCACCTCTGGAATGCCTGGCACTGTCCAGGCCTGACCTGTACCCACAGCACCTCTGGGAGGCTGACTGATGTCCAAGGCAAGGATTATGGCCATCACAAGCTAATCCAGGGGCTGAGTTCACCTTAGATTCCAGAGGGGATCATGGTGGGGACAGGGTGACAGGAAGATGCCGCCAGGAAAAGTGATATGGTCTATATCAGTCCTGGCCCAGAGCAGGGACAGAGCCCCGGAGATGCGGTGGGGGGAGAGGCAGCAGGATAAGGAGAAGGGAGAAGAGACCCATGGGTGCCCCATGGCACTCACTGTGCCCCCTGGCATTTCAGGGATCTGGCTCAGCCTGGGCTCCAGACAGCTGGCAGGGAGGGGCTTGTGCTAGGGTGCATCAGGCCCATGGTGGGGACAGGAAGTTTCCAGCCCATGTCAGTCTCACATCCTGCAATGGCACCACCTGCCACAGTGCTGTAACCACAGCAGGGCACGGTCCATACTGGAAACCCCCTTCCCCTACTCTTGATGTCAAGCCCCACCCCCACAACACTGCCATGGTCCCCACTAAGAGTTCTGCTTCCATCTGACTCATTCTGCAGCTCCTGTGGCTCAGCGCATGTCGCACGCTGAGTCCCAGGGTGGCAGCCAGTCCTGAGATCCAGGGTGCCCCATCCAAGGTTGCCTGGGGGACCGCCCCTCCCCATCCGCCCCGCAAGCGCTCCAGATGTAGCAAGGCACAGTTAGGCTCACAGGGGCCCAGTCTCTGGGATCCCAGGCCTGGGGCTGGGGGATCCCGAAGGTGACTCTGAGTTCCAGGGCTTCCCACTTCCTCGGGAGCCCTTGTTTCCCAGGATTGCCTGTCAACAATTTCTCCTGGACCGGAGAACTGAATTTGGGACAGTTTCCGTGGGGGCGTGGATGGTGAATCAGCCTTAGGAACTGCATCCCACACTGGCTGCCACCCAGGAAGCTGCTTCCAAAACCAGGCGCAGGCCGCCTTCGACGCAGCCCAGGTTTCCACAGATGCCTCTGCTTCCATGCCCGGGCCTGCAGGGACCCTCCATCCTGGTCCTTGAAGACCGCGCTGAGGCAGGGCCCTGGGGTAGAGGGCTCTGCCGTGGCTCATAGCTGTCTCAGCAAGAGCTTCTGCTTTTCCAGTCATTAGCAAAAGAAGCTCCAGGTGGAAATGCAGGTTCCCAGTGCAGAGGGTGGAGGAATTTACAAGTCTGTTGGGGTCCCCTCGGGGTCAGTGTGGAGCTGGCACGAACCTCTGCAGGACGTGGCACCAGGAGCAGTTGAAGTTCAGGTCAGAGGAGATGCAGGTGTCACAGCTCTGGTGCTGCAGGCAGGCTGGGGGGTGGGGAGACGGAGACAGAGACAGAGACAGAGACAGTGACAGAGATGCTTAGCCCCAGGCCTTTCTGCAGCCTCCAGGCTTCTCCCGGAATGTGAGGACGTTCAAGGTCACCAGTGCCATCCTCACTTTGAGTCTTTCCTTCCCTCCATCTGGCACTAGTGGATCAGGTCCTGAGCCACTGCTGGGGACCCCTGCCACTGCTGATCCCCTGGTCCCTGCCTTTTCCAATCCCATGGAGAGACAGACACCGACCAGATCATCCCACAAAAGCAATGACCGAGTTAGAACTGTCTTGCAGCTCATGACATTTTACGGAGGAAAACTCCAGGGATCCCTAAGTATGAAGCCTTAAGTATGGGTCCCACTTGGTTGGGAGGTCACAGGGAAACAGGGCCACCATGGTGGGGCAGATGGCTGTGATGACCAGATGGGACCCTGGGCACAGTGAGCGCTTGCCCTGTGTAGTGTGGCACGAGCCAGAAGCCGTCATGGGACCCCATGAAACTACAGAAGCAGGATGTTTACCTTGAGGGACACACTGCTACCAGGAGACCTAAATAAGCCTTCGAGCCTCCCTGGCTCTCTGTCAGTTTACAGATCACTAATTTGGAGGAGCTGTGCTGTCCAGGCTGCTTCCTGGCTTTGCTGTGGCTGTTGTTACGGTAACAGTTGCTTGGTTACTTCCAGGAACCTGAAGCCCACTTTTGCTGAAGGCTTTGACCCTTCCCTTGAGCCCACAGACACCCAGGGGTGACTGTTATGGGCTAAGACACACAGGGCCTCTTTATAATGTGTCTGTTCCCTTTGCTCTGAGCTTTTGGATCAGATTCTGCTCAGTTGTGCACACACAGACAGCTGATTATTTAAAAGTGTTTTGCCCAGAGCCAGGCATGGCAAGGCACACACACCTGTCATCCTAGCACTCAGGAGGCTGAGGCAGGAGGATCACCTTGAGTTTGAGGTCAGCCTGGGCTACATGGAGGACTCTATCTTAAAAACAAACAAAAGCCAAGCTCTGCCTAGGTTGCTCTAGCCTTTGCCACAGCTCCAGGAAGGAGGGGGTGCTGGGCTCAGGTTACAGATGGAACCAGAGGCCAGGAGGCAGTGGCCATGCCCTCCAGGGCTCGGGCAAGCATGGTCTGATACAAGAGTACCTCCATGATGGCACAACATTCCCAGCCTGGATAGGACCCTACTCACTGGGCAGCGGGGTGAACTCCACGGCGGAGGCACTGGCAATCCTGCTGGTGTCCAGCTCCACACGGTGATACTCAAAGATGGTCCTGCGACGGGACTCTGCGAGAGAGGCAGCATCTGTCCTCAGACGCAGTCCCAGCCTGAGGCTCCGGGGCCTGCCCTGGGCCTGGATTTAGCCCAGAAGAGCTCACAGCTTGGAAGGAGCAGGGAAGACTGAGAGCCGGGGACACTGAGGATTCAGGGAACCGGGGCTAGAGGTGAGCTGGGGAGCAGCCTAGGGCACAAGCAGTCAGCTACCCCTGCTGGCCCCACACAGTGTGGGCTGTGCAGGTCCCAAGAGCCTCAATATCTTATGTTTTGTTTTTTTGAGACAGGGTCTTGCTCTGTAGCCCAAACTGTTCTTGAACTCATGGCGATCCTCCTACCTCAGCCTCCTGAGCTGAGATGAGAGGTATGCACCCCACACCTGGCTCTGCAGGAGGCAGCAGAGCTCAGTGAGTCAGTCACAGACAGAGGGGCTCCTGTGTCTCCGCTGTGCACCCCACCTGCCCCTCCTATAAAGAATCTGGGCGCCCACCACATAGCTGCACATCGAGGCACATTTCAACATTTGCTGCCCCACCTTAGAATTGCTCCCCACTCCTTCCCCCGGCAGTGAACCTCGGTTTGGCACCCAAAGCCCCCTCTCCCCATTGTACCTGCTGCAGCCTCAGCCCCTGATACCTCAGAGACCAAAGGGTGACACCCAGGACAGGTCCTCTGGTGCAATGAAGAGGGCGCTGAGCTGGTGTTGGTGGCAAAGGTTCCTGGAACTCAACAGGCCCCTGCAGGCAGGCTCAAGGCCTGAAATCCCTGGGGAGGCCATCGGTCACCCTGTTACCCACTGACCAGGCACTGAACTGGGCCACCCTTAGCTGATGCTTGTGGGTGTTGCTGGGACACAGTAGATCCCCCCTCAAGGCTCCTGGCCCGGTGTTGCCTGGCAGCCTGGACATCACCACCACCCCTTTCTACTCTGCCCCAGCACTGACCTTTCCTTGCCCAGCGTCCCAGGGCCGCCCCCTGCCAGCCCCCCAGGTCCCCTCCTGCTTCCCTCCTGGGGTCACGCTGGCTTCCCTTGCTTTTCTCTCTTGCCTTCAGCAGAAATGGGACACCAGGAGACATGGGGACATTAATGCTCACGGGGTATATGAGCTTGGAGTCCCAGGGCGGCTGACTCTTTACCACCCCGGCCACTAGAGGAGGGCCAGGGCCACCCTTCTTGCCAGGGACAGTGACACCCCAGCCTCCCTCCCAGGACTCCTGCATGGGGGCCAGGTAGCTTCTAAGGAGACCCAGGTTCCCCCCTCCCCCGCCCTCCGCCTCCTGTCCTGAGCATATCTGGGACTCGCTGTCTCCTGGGCAAGCAGCCAGGAATGGGAGGACAAGGGTCTAGCTCGCTCTGGCAGGTGCCCAGCGGGAGCACTGCCCAGGGTGGGCTTGGTCAGAGAGGAGATGGGTCAAGAGTTGCAGGGCACTGATTAGTTGAGGTATCCTTTGTCTTCATGTCACGGTGAAGAAACTGAGTCCATACCAAGAAACCTGCAGACTCAACCTTGCACAGCCCTTTAGGATCACCAAGCCCGTCCCTAGCCTTCAGCACTGAAGCCCGCAGTGGTGACCTATGGTAGCGTGTGGCAGGAGGCTGTCTGCATCACTCAAAGCTCTATAAGGTTTGCAGATTCCCCCAGACGCCCGCACTGCCCTACCGAGCCCTTTGGGCAGCACCCAGGGTGGGTGCGGGCTCTGTTGCCCTGGTGCCCTGTCAAGTCCCGGCCACTTGGTGACACCCAGGCCAGACCTGATGCTGGGTCTGAATCACCTCATTGGACCTGGTACCTTTCTGGGGTACACAGACAGATGTCACCATCTCCCCTTTGGAGAGCAGGGACCAAGCAGGGATGATGGTTCCCCAAAGCCACACCAGTTTTGTGTTTAGTTTTTAGCATGGCTTAGGCTGATTTCAGCCTGATTCCAAGCTGCCCACCTAGCGTCTCTGAGTGTACACAGAGGGGGGACACAGGTTCTGTGCCACTTGGTAACCTCTGGGGACCACTGTGGCACTGGGGAGGATGCCAGGGCCAGGTTGTGCAGTGCCTGAGGGCACTGAGAAACACTTGGACACCCTGCCACAGACTCTCTGAGATGTGGGAGCGAAAGAAGAGGAAACAGAACAGGAGAATCAGAAAGCAGAGAGAAAATAGAGACAGACAGGGCAGGCAGCAGAGAGAAGCCACCTGATCCTTTCACAAGAGACCAGAGGGGAGCGCATGGTGCACCTGGGGTCCCCTCACCCAGCCCACCTTCAGGAGCAGAAGTCCCCCTGCTACAGGATCCCCTGTCCCCTGCAAAACAACAGCAGAAATTAAAAAAAAGAAAACCGAAGAGAGATCCAGATGAATGCACAGTGAGCAAAGCTAGCGTCCATGAAAAGGACACAGATATCTGAGAATTTAACCTAGAAAAGGCTGGGTTGGAAGTCATGGGCTATGGGAAAGGAGAAGAGGGGGAGGGGAGGGGAGAGGAGGGGGAGGGGAGGGGAGGAGGGAGGGGAGCGTCATCCTGCTCTGCCAAGCCTCCCAAAAATAGTTCTGTGAATTAGAAGGTTTTGCAGGAGTGCATCAAAGGGGGAATAAAAAGGCAGCAAAGGAAGGAAAGAGTGGGTCTGGTGTGCTGATATTTTCAAGAAAAAGAAGAGAGGGCGGGAAGACAGGAAATCCAGAAAGAAGAGGATGGCTCCCGGTATTCAGTCAATAGACGGGCTGGGCAGCTTGGAAAATCCAAACATGGGCCACTGATCCCAAGCCCACTGGATGCTGAGAGGACGGATTCTCCTGGGTGGCTAAGGCAGCCTCCCTGCTGGCTCCCGCTCCGGTAAAGCTCTGTCTTCCAACTTTTCCTGGTCTCACAAATGCGAGTGATTAACATTAAGTTGCCTCTTAATATTTTTACTGACCTAATGTTACTGGCTCATGAAAGAACTAAGAATCTGATTTGTTAGTTTTTTGGAAAAGGAGTTTTAATTTTCATCCTGTTAGTATAAAATGTATCTTTTCCAAATTCATATAAACCAACACAGCTCTTACAGAAAAAAAAAAAAAAAAAAAAGATCTAATGAGTGTGTTTATCCTCCTCCAGCCAAGAGGAGCTGTGAGAACCTGGGGTGTCTGGTGACTAAAAGAGCCCAGTTCCCCATCAATTCACCCCCACAGGCACAGGGGTGCCCCCCTTCACAGACACACAGATCCTTGTTCATGCACACAGGCTTCTGCTTTGGGTGCCGGGGATGGAACCCGACTCATCACAATGACCTCCATCTGCTCCCCTTTCAAAAACTTTTATCCTGAAGCCAAGTCCCACGGCAGTTGATAAACTGCCCAAGCTAAGCTTGAACTTGGGAGCCCCTTGCCTCAGCTGGGAGTGAGTGCTGGGATCACAGGTGGGCCCCACCATGCCCCATTTATGGGTTTTTTTTGTTTCTAAACAAGGAAGGCCCCTGCCACATACAAGCGGGTCTGACAGAGACTAGGAGAGGAAGGGTCATGTTTGCAGTTCCTTCTGCGTTATGACAAGGTAGCCTGGGGGCTTTCACAGTGCTCCTCAGTTGCTGTCCCCAGGAGCCCTGTGTGCCCTGCAAAGCCACCCCTTCGGCACCAAGGTGCAGGGGGAGAAAGGGTAAACATGAAACCCCAGCTGCCCTCTCTCTTGCCCTGCAAGGGGCTGAAGCCACAGGGCCTGGGGTCTAATGTCAGCCTTCGAGGCTCAGCCCCATGGTCCCCACTCAGCTCCACAGGCTCCAGTGTCACCTGTCCCACTACTAAGTCAGTGTCTACTCTCCTGATCACTTGCCTTGGCCTGAGACTTCAAGCTCCCCAAGACAGAGTCCTGGTGCCTCTGCAGCCCTGAGCCTGGCTTCAAGGCTTCTTAACACTTAACAAGGCTTCAAGAAATGACAATAAGGTCAGGCATGGTAGTGCACACTTGTAATCCCACCACTCAGGGAGGCTGAGGCAGGAAGATCTTCACAAGCTCAAGGACAGCCCAGGTTACATAACAAGGTCAAGGACAACCTGAACTGCATAGCAAGACTTGGCCTCAAAAAAAACAAAACAAAAAATGACAATGAATGAATGGCTGATGAGGTGTGAACAGATGGTTTGCAGACTCCAAGAAAACTCTGACAAGATTTCTACAGCAGCTGTGGCCCAGAGAGAGCCATCCCAGTTCCCACCCCACATAGAGAGGATCTTTCTCAAAGGGGTCATTTCCGGGCAAACACGGAAAGCCAGGCACTGGCCAAGTTCTCAGAGTTTAGGGTGCACCCCAGCCATGGCTGCCGCTGGAGATGGCCAGCTGTCCCCCAAAAAGAGACAGCAGGCCAGGGAGGCGCGGGGGTGGTGATGCGTCCCCGCTTGGAGCCCGGCTGGCACCCAGGGCCAGCTGGGGCTTGTTGGAGTGTGGGCTCTGGTAATGGTTTCATTTTTCATAAACACAGCCCTCGGCCTTGCGCCTGAGAGCATTGCCTGCGGACTCTTTCCCCACAGCTGGGATCACCCTGGACAGTGAGTCCATCTGCGGGTGGGTGTGGGCGCCGCCCCAGCCCAGCGTCTGGTGCCTGGAGACCTTCTGCTTCCTCTCCGACCCAGGCAGCCTGATGTGTCTAGGGTCCCGGAGGACCTGCACCCTGCCCAGTGCAGCTGGCAGCTCTGCACCCAGGTGCAGGCCCATTTCTGTTTCCACCTCAGCTCCTGGGGACACTGCAGGTCCCCCGCGGTTGGCTGTGGCCTCAAAGTGTCAGGTGGGGTCTGGGCTGTATATCCATTCTTTGATTCCTTCTCTCCTCTCATTCTGCGTTTAATAATCCTCACTCAGGTCTGGCAGTATGACTCAGGGTTGTGATCAAAGTGTCACCAGGGTCACTGTTACTGGGATGGCTGAAGGGCACGAAGGGGTTTGCTTCTAGAAGCAGGACTCAGGTCCCCAAGAGGCTGCTTGGCTCCTTGACTTGTGAGCCTCTCCCAGGACAGCTCACCACAGGGGCCCTGGCCCTTGACCCCACAGACAAGGCGGCAGGAGGGCTCCTCTTCTTCTCACCCCCTCACATATTCCAGGCTGGCCTTGGACTCCCAGTGTCCCTCTGCAGCCAGCTCTGGAACCCCCACCACTCCTACCTGGGACACCCCATTATACCAGGTGGGCTGAGCATCTTCCAACCCTGCATCAAAGCCTTGGGCACCCCAGAATCCCACAGGAACCCCTAGCCTGCCCTGCCCCTGGGGCTGACTTCCTCTTCTTTCCCCCATCCAACAGCTTGATGCAACCCACATCTCCTGAAACAGACCGGGACCGGCCCTCGGGTCCCCACACGCCCTGGATGTGCATACCTGGGGCAGCTGAGGAGGAAAGGATTCAATCTAGAGTCAGGGAGGGTCAGATTAAGTAAGGCTGAATGTCTGGGCATCCTGGCACATTGCTGTCATCCCAGCACCCTGGGAGGCTGAGGCAGGAGGATCAACAGTTTAAATCCAACCTGGGCAATTCTGAGACTTAGCAAGACCTTGTCTCAAAATTCAAAATAGAAAAGGGGCCAGGGCTCGGTGTGAAGGCCGTGGTTCAATCCCCAGTACAAAGGCTCAGTGGGATTGAGATTGGGAAGATGGGGGTCTCAGTTCTCTCCTCCAGGCCTGTGTGACCACAGCCAAGTCACACACCTCGCTGAGGCCTTGGGCTCACTGGTTTGTTTATTTATTTATTTGGTTTCTTGAGACAGGGTCAGACTGGATTTGAACTCATGGCAATCCTTCTGCCTCAGCCTCCCAAGTGCTGGGCTTCCAGGCCTGTACCACTGAGGTCACGTGTGCCCAAGTGGAGCAGTCCAGAGGCACAGGCCACCCTCACCACGGGAGCGAAGGGAGCAGAGTAAACATGAAGCTGTAAGGCTGGTGCCAGGGCATGGCAGTGTGGTTAGCATGTCAGGCAGATGGGAAAGCAGCTTCCCGGTACCCTTGTCCTCGGGCAGTGTCCTCTCAGCGAGAGTTTCACACAGTGATCTGCTGCCAACCATAGGACGCGGCAAAAATCATTAAAATTCTGCTTGGAAGACTGGTTTCCCCTCCTCCAGTTCTCTTGCCACTTTGTCTGTTGGGTCAGGGGCCAGGGCCCCTGTGGTGAGCTGTCCTGGGAGAGGCTCACAAGGCAAGGAACCAAGCAGACTCTTTGGGGACCTGAGTCCTGATTCTGGAAACAAACCTCTTCTTGCCCCTCAGCCATCCCAATAACAGTGACCCTGGCTGACACTTTGATCACAGCCTCTGAAAGACACCCCTGAGTCATTCTGTGCTTCCTGGGCCACAGAAACTAAGGTAATACAGTCTCCATTTTCCAGTCACTATATTTGGGGACCACTTGTTACACAGCAGTAGCTAACTAATACAATGTGGGGTTTTCCTTGTGATGCTAGGGATAGAATCCAGGCGTCCACAGGCCAGGCAAATGCTGTATACCAGGCCCCACCCAAGCCCTCTCCAGTTGTTTTCTCACATGGGTTTTGGCTTTGGTAAAGCCCCCAAGACCCCACAGACCTTGGAGACAGCTGACTGACTGGGGGGACTCCAGGGAGGGGGTCTGGAGGACAGGGACAACTGTCATCTCTTCTTTTCTTCAAAACTAGAGATTGAAGCAGGGCCTACACACTGAGCTATGTCCCAGTCCCTTTTTATTTTTATTTATATTTAATTCGACTTAATTTAATTTCATGTTTTTGTCATTTTGAGACAGGGTCTTGCTATGCATTTCAGGCTGACCTTAAGCTTACTCTGTAGCCCAGGCTGGTCTCAAACTCACAATGATCCTCCTGCCTTAGCCTCCCAAATGCTGGGATTACAAGTGTGCACCACCACACCCGGCCCTTTTTCATTTTTTAAACAATGACTTATTTTTTATTTTATTTTATTTATTTTTTTATTGGTACCAGGGATTGAATTCATGAGTGCCGGCTTGCAAGGCAGGAGCTTATGTCTCTGAGCTAAATCCCCAGCCCCCCTTTTTCATTTTTTATTTTGAGATAAAGACTTGATAGGCCACTAAGTCACCCAGGCAGGGCTCAAATTTACAATCCCCCTGCCTCAGCCTCCCAGGATGCTAAGACTGTAGTTGTGCTCCTCTCCAGCCAGCAAGAACGCTAATCTTTTCTCCACATTCTTACATATCTTTTACATTTTGAAACAGCTAAATTTTCATAAGTTCAAGCCCAGCCTGGGCCACACAGTATCTCAGCATGAAAAGCCTCCTCTGGCCTCAGATTGGGGTTTGAGATAGGAGAGAAAGAGCTGTGTCCCCTAACATGCCAGCACTAGAGCGGGGATCCAGAAGGACAGCTCCCCTTTTGTCTGCACCCATTTTACAGAGGAGGCAGCTGAGGCTGTGAGAGGATGTGGTTCGCAGGAGGACGAAGGTCGAGGCCATCCCACTGGCTGGGTCCCCTAGACTCACCTGGCACACCCGGGGCCGGATTGAGGACCATGAAGGCGTCTGACAGGCCAGCTTTCACGGGGTGCTGGGCGGAGCTGATCTCCCAGACAGACATGGGAATCTGTGGCGGGAGAAGGGGCTCTGTCTACCCGAGTCGCCTGGGCTGACCGAGACTCCAGGGAGCTCGGAGCCAGCTCCTAGAGGGCGCGAGAAAATGCCTCGTGCCTCCCCTGCACCCCCCCCCCCCAATTCCACGGTGTCCCCACACTGCTCAGCCCCAGCCCAGGGCCAGCCCCGGGACTAACGTCCCGCCGCCGCCAGCCGCTCACCTCTTTGTAAACGAAGATGATGCGGCCATCTCGGTGCAGAGCGGCCTGGAACGTGAAGCTGCCCCTGTCCTCGCAGCCCTGGAGGTAGATGTGGTCCCACTGCACCACGAAGACGGTCCCTGGGGAGAGAGCAGAGTGGGCTGGGCAGGGAGGTGGGACAGGGAGCAGGTGGGGGAATGGGGAGCAGGTGGGGGCCCAGAAGCAGGGGCCCCTGGAGTGGGCTGCACTTGAGCTGGATCCCCTTGGGTTGATGGGGACACCTTAGTCACTCTCCTGTCCCTGAGACACAACACTTTGCACCCACAGTTTACAGAGAAGTTGATTTTGGCTCCCATTTTATTAAAGGTTTCAGCTTTTGCACAGAAGGCAGCACCGCGCCCAGGGAGTCCAGTGGAGGGCGGAGTCTTTCCAGGCCCCGCCCCTCCCAAGACCACGCCCACCGCCTAGCCTCGCCTTTACCACAGCCACCCAGGACTCCTTCCCCTGTGGTCTGTTCCTCTGTGACTCGGTCTACAGCTGAGCCTGCCCTTGAGCTCACAGCAATCCTCCTGCCTCAGCCTTACAAATGCTGCAATTGCAGGCACCTGTCACCGTGCCTGAATTTCCAGATCTTTCAAAAGGCCCCTGTGAGTCCATGAAGCTTTGGGGCAACTTGGAGACATAATAGAGGCCGCTCTGTTCTCCTGGGAGGATGATGACACACAGCAGTGGTCCCCGAGCTCTCCCTTACCTCCAAGAGCAAAGCACTCCCAAGTGATTTTCTTGGCCCTGCTGGGCAGTAGGCATTGTCCCCAGAATGTGGGGACTGCGGCTGATAACCCCCCGCTGGCTTTGGGCTCCCCTACAGGGGCTGGGCTGGGTGCAGCACTGGTGCCCGGGCTCTGGCTCACCGTTGTCGTAGTAGGCCACTGTGGAGTTGTGGGAATAGCCAGGGTTGAAGTTGGCCATGAGGGGCGCAACATACTGCGTGGCTGTGAGCATCCGGTGGATCACATCACCCATGAAGAGGAAGCCTGGGGGCACAGGTGGAGGGACCCAGCATCACCTGTGAGGCCCCCTCACAACTGTCCCCCTGCCCGGGACTCTGGGTCTGGCGTGCTTAGAGCCAGAGAGCCCCAGAGCAGAGCAGGCCCTGCCTGTGCCCCATGGGCATGAACTGCAGCGGGAAGAAAATGGAAGAAGCCCAGGAAGGGTGTCTCCAGGGAGCCTCCCGCCCCCTCCCATGCAGGCCCTCCCAGCCTTACCTCCTGTTGCTATGGTGACCTGTCGCAGAGGATGCCCGTAGAAAGGGAAATCGAAGGACAGGACTACCCTCTGCAGGGACAGGGCAGGGTCAGTCTGGGCAGTGGGGGTGGCACCTGGAGGACCCCCCCCAGATCCTGATCCCAGGCTGGGCTGGACACTCACGGAGGCCTGCCGGTGCGCGCTGGACAGGACCTTGTGCACCCGCACTTGGGTCTGGTTGGCCTCAGCCACATCCACCCACAGCTCCTGGCCTCGGGGCTCGCTGGGGCCGTAGATTCGAGACACATAGTAGTTATGGTTGGACTCCTGCGGGGGACAGCACAGGGCCCCAGGAGAACAGGGGTCAGGCTGGCCAGGCTCAGCTCTGCCCTTGCCACTCAGGCTACCAGCTGCCAGAGGTCACCCACCCATCCTGGGGCACTGGACCTGCAGCCCAGGACCCTGCTAGTACCACAGTGGCCAGGACCTGCCCTGCAGCCCTGAGTCCCTGCAGGGTCCTCGAGGTGCATCAAGGGGACACAGCCCCTGCCCCTGCAGAGCACCTTGCCTAAGAGGAAGGGGAGAGGGACTCCACCGGTGCTGCTAACAGTGTCATTCAGTGCCTCACACCCAGTGGGGGACAGGCCAGGCTGGGGTTGCTTCACAGAGGGGCGCTTGGCGTCTGGGCATCTGGATCACTAAGTGGCTGCCCAGTGGTGGTGGCCATGGACACAGCCAAGGAAGTCCTGCTGCCTGGCTGTCTCTGCCTTGCCTCCTTCCTTCAAAACTCAGTTCAAAGTTCACCTTCTTAGTGACCTCCCGTCTGTCCCGACTCCCCCACCCAGCAAGGAGGGCACCCATCCCTTCCCAGTGCCCTTCGAGTTGCATGGTTCCCAGAGTCCTGCCTTTACGCCACGTGAGCCAGGCTTGCTGGATGGATGGCTTTATCATGAAGCCACCACCCCGGGGCAAGGGCACCACTGTCCCCGGCTGAGGGTGAGGGAGGTCTGGGCTGGACGCTGCCTCTTATGCCTGCCACAGAGCTGCCCCCTTTCAAACAAAAACATTGTGTATGGGCATAGCAGTGCATAGCTGTAATCTCAGCACTCAGGAGGCTGAAGCAGGAGGGTCACCGTGAGTTCTGAACTACACAGAGATCCTGTATCAAAAGAGAACCAAGTGTGTTAAGGGCTGATGGTAGCCTCACGGTAGAAAGAACAGAAGCTATGTTCATTAAGTGCCCTGCAGTCCACCCTCCACATGTCTGATACACCTTGAACACAGAGAGTCAGCAAAGGTCACTCCCGCCTGTGGCTCAAAGTCCTCACACACATGGTGTCTTGGAAGCTCATGCAGGGAGCGGAGCCCTGTGCACTGAGAGGCTGTCTCCTTTGCCCTCTGGAGACAGGGAGGAGGTCACAGGAGAGAGGCCGGGACTGCTGGGATGCAGTTTACGAACCAAGGGACACCAGGGAGGGGTCCTGTTTTAAGCCTCCAAAGTTGGGGTCTTTGCTAACAGCAGCTCAAGGAACCACACACAGAACTGGGGTTGCTGTGGCTCAGCTGGAGCAACCTGGAGCTAGTCTCCAGTGCAGTCAGTCTCCCTGCTTAGGACATTCTGTGGCTCCCCAGTTCTACCCAAGACAGGGGCCACACCCTGACCACAACCCACAAGGTCCTGAGGGGCCGTCTCTGGGCACTGCTGACTTGATGTCCATTCCTTTCTTTGCTAACAGAACACTGATTGTGTAGCAGACAAAACTCCTTCATTTCCTGAATGTCTTAAGGGACCTGGGTCACCGGACCCAGGTTGGCTAAGAGACCAGCCAAAGGATCTAGTGGAGACATTGAAAGAAGTCAAATTTAACAATTTAGACTGGGCATGGTCGTTCACGCCTGCAATCCCAGCACCCAACCCAGGAGGCTGAGGCAGGAGGATCGTTTCGAGTTCGAGACCAGCCTAGGCTACTAAGTGAGCTTAAGGCCAGCCTGAACTATATAACGAGACCCTGTCTTTTTTTATTTTTTTTCGTTTTTATCGGTACCGGGGATCGAACTCATGACTGCCTGCTTGCAAGGCAGGCACTTATGCCACTGAGCTAAACCCCCAGCCCCGAGACCCTGTCTTAAAAACACAAAACAAACAAACAAACAAAACAACAAACTTTAACGACTTGTCTTTTCTTTTATCTTTTCCCTTTTCCCTCCTCATGTCCAGAATGCAGACATGGTAGCTGGGGCTCCAGCAACCATTTTGTCAGTATAAGGACAAGACGCTTCTCCCCTCCCCAAGGATGGTGGGGTAGAAAGCTGGATGGAGCCTAGGTGTTTGAGGCCGTGCTCCGTAAGTGCCTGGCTTCAGCTGTCACCCAGAAACAAATTCTTCCTGAACCTTGGTCTGGCCGCCACTGGCACCTGCTTCTTGCTGGCTGTAATCTGTATTCTGAGTCCACTGGGCTTCTGTCTGCAGAAGCCTCTTTCTCCTGTCACAGTGCTACTCCCTGCAGGAGATCTTATTACCAAAGACCAGGCCAGCAGCAGTGGGAGTGAACAGGTTGGAGCAGTGCCCAGCAGCCATCAGCTACTTGTGGACTCCCGCAGCCACTGCGTCCCTGGCTCCAGGTGGCCCTGACCAAAGCCACGCGGTATATCTGAGAAGCCTAAGCAGGCGTGGATGGTGACGCCAGATGTGTGTATCACTGGCTGGTTCCTCTACAACCTTTATGTCACATGAGGACAAATGGCCTGTCCTGCTGCTCCAAGGAGGAGCCTGGCAGCGGGCCAGGTTCTTGGTGTCACCTTGTTTCCTGTGGCACCACTGTGTCCTGGTCCTCTGCTCTCCCACCTAATGCCACCAAGATCTGAACTCAGGCGTCTACCCTGATGATCCCGTCTGCCCTGAAGTTCCCAAGGACACATGGTCTCCCTCCTTTCCGCATGGCCGACAGAGTCGATGGCCTCCTGATGCTGGCAGAGATTAAATATCAACAGTTGGGCTGGGAATTTAGCTCAGCAGGATAAATGCCTGCCTGGCAAACATGAGGACGTGAGTTCGATCCCCAGTACCAAAAAATAAAAAAAATCAACACAGGCGGCTATGCTCAGATGACCTCCAAACCATGGCTGAGCTCCCTGTTGAGATATAGCAGGGCCTCAGGGCCAAAGATGCCGGGGATCACGGCCAGGATGGAAACACATCAGTCACCGGGAGCAGGACCACTCTGGGCAGCACCGGGCAATCAGCTGGGTCCCACACTGGCTCCCAGTGCCATCCTGTCACAGGGTGACTCTGATCAGCAGGACAGCGAAGCTGGGAGTTGGACCTGTTTGGAGCATTGCCTAAGGACAGCACTTGAGGACAAGGCGGGGTGACCAGAGAGGGCTTGGTGCTGGATACAGCAAAGGACTAGGTCACCGAGGAGCCGAGGACGGCAGGAGGAGGAAGTGCGAGCTGGCATTTGCAGAGCTGGGGCCTTGAGCTGGGCATCTCAGGGGCGTCACCACCAGCAACCCTCAAAGTCATCTAACTATCGGGAGCCAGGGCCGCCCAGGTGGGGGTTACACGTGACTGTGTCATCCTGCTTGGTGTGAGCGGCGGGGGTCGGGGACACACATTGCTGGTGTGTCCTGGTGGGCATGACGGTGTCATTCCGGCGTGTGCCTGGTCCCTGCTCCCTCCTTTTCAGCACTATCCTCTGGGCCGCCTCTTGCCACCATGAACTGATTGGTTTGCTCTGCCAGCCGCTGACTGTTCCTGCCTTGGAGCCAAACCCTGAAACTAAGCCAACTCCAACCTCTTCCCTTCTACACAGTGGGTGTCAGGCACTTTGTTCCAGCAATGGAAAAGTGGCTGACCCAGCTCCCCTCAAAGACAGCCATCCTGCCCACAGCAAAGGCCAGTTTTCCTCTTTCCATAAGCAGCCTCCCTGGAGCAGCAGGAGGCCATCAAATCAGGGCACACAGCCCTCACATTTGCGGGGTGTGGCATGTCCTAATGAGCAGGACAAACAAGATGCCCTCCCATTGCCTAGAGAAATGTAGGTGTGATGACAGGAGCTGAAGTAGCCACTTTGGACTGCAAAACAGAAGGCACATGGTACAGAGAGCAACCCTTCCCTAGCTGTGCTCAAAGTCTCACATGTGGGAGAAGCTCTCTGGTGTCCAGGAGCCTTGTCAGGGGGCTCTGTTACAGTAGTGGAGCCAGCTGGCTAAGGATCCCATGCCAGGCCCAGGGCTGCTTCTGCACAGTGTGTGCTGTGATTTAAAAGCTGCAGAGAGGGGCTGGGGATTTAGCTCAGTGGCATAAGTACCTGCCTTGCGATCCCCGGTACAGATAAAAAAAAAAGATCCTCAGGTTCATAAGCGTGATGATTGGGTGTTCATGCTCCATGCATGACATGTGCCTCCTTTGAACCTTGTTACGACCTCGGCACATTACCCACCTGACGTGAAAAAAAAAAAGCTGCAGAGGCCGCGCCTGCTGAGGGTCCATGCCACCCTGGCCCATCGCCACGCATCTCTGTGACGAGCGTACCCAAACCCTGGCCCATTGCCCACGTGTCTAGGGAGGCGTTTTTCCCATGAAATCCCTGTGAATGCTCTGTTCCACTCAGCATGCAGACCACAGGGAACAGAGTCCCCCACTTCGCCCCCAGCAGGCTCAGTGCCAAGACTCCTACCACCCTCAGCAGGCTGAGCAGCTCGGGGCACCCCTAGGGTTCTTTGGAGCATAGTGTGAAAACCAATGCTCAGAGATCAAGCAGATGGGCAGTGGCATCAGCCAGACCCAAGTTCAAAACCACCATGGCACCGTGTGTGGTGACGCACCCCTGTCACCCCAGCAGTCAGGAGGCTGAGGCAGGAGGATCACTGTGGGTCCAAGGCCAGCCTGCGAAATTCAGTGATTTAGCAAGACCCTGTGTCATAGGGCTGGGGACATAGCTCTGTGCAAAAGCCTAGGGTTCCATGCTCAATGCCACTAAATTAATTAATTAATAAGCATGCCCCAGGATGAGCCGCGTAAGCCTCATGGGAGCTGTCAGAAGCCCGCTCCCGTCGCTCCCAGACCTCAGGTCAGAACTCACACCCGGCCGCACAAGATTCCCAGGGCCTGTTGCCAGAGTGAGTTGGAAAAGGGCAAGATAAAAGCCTGCCCTGCAGCCACATGTCACTTGTTTTGTCTCCAAGGACATGGAAGTTAAACCTCTGACCCTACAGGCAGAAAGCCCCAGGTTCCAGTACAATAGCTGTGTGACCTCAGGCAGGCGCCTGCACCTCTCTGTTCTGAATGGAGGGCATCAAAGGAACAGCTGTGAGAAGAGGGCTCC